ATCCTATTTAAGCGATAAAATATCATTTCCTGCATTAACTGTAGTATCTATTTAGAATTTGATCGATGAAAATTAAAGATCTAAAAAGAACTGTCTTGATTCTTACAGTTATGAATATCTATCGTGATACTTTGTCAGATACCTTAAACCTACAAAGGATTTGTTTTAATATTTGACTGTAAAGCTTCATTAAATCTACATTCATCAAATTAGTCCTTTTTTGCAACATAATCTGAAGCAAGTATCAAATACGTTACTGAATCCATTTAGAGTTTTTGTTAAAGTTCATCAAAATATTTCTTCGAATCAATATAATGTTCATGACATGAAGAACTGAAATCAAAAGTGAAGCTATCGTTTTCTTGTAACTATCGATTCTAATTTTGAATAAGGATTGTGACAAGAAGACTTTTTTTTTTGATATTCGCTGATTAAAAGAGAGGAGTGATATTTCATTTATTTATCCATAGGCAGATAATAGAGAGAAAGAATTAAGAATCAATTATCTCTTAACTATTTCAAAAAAAAAATGCAGATAAAGCGGAAAACAATGGTATCGTCATATAAAAGCAGTATAATAAATGCATGTCATACATACAGTGTGTTACAACGTGTGAAAATTTTAAAATATTGTAAAACAAATGAAATCTTATATAAAATTGTAATTTCAATACTCAACTGTAACTTGAACAAATTAGAGCTGTGTATAGGCGACTTTTTCCTTACTTTAGTCTGCAGGCTTAACCAGACTGATTGATGTTTCTGATTTCAGTTGTCCATTTAATTTATCTTCATAAAGATAAAATAAGAAGAAGTTCTTATATGAATAGAAAATCATCAGAAATATTTTGTGGAACGCACATATATTTTCGAAGAAAATAGTAAATGTAAGTTTTGCGGTTTCCCGTTATATAGCTTAGTCACCAAGGACAAGCATCAGACTTTTCTTCGAGTTCCTTGACAACGGGAAAAAGTGCTGAACGACATTAACAATAAGACTTTGACTGTTATCGAGAATTTCGGAGTATTCCAAAGTTTTCTTCAAAAATTTGAATAAGCTGAAATATGTTTATGAATATTCTAAATAGTTGAGATTTTTATTTTTATGCAGATAAAAATTTATATTCAAGATGTCAAAGATGATGAATAATGATGCATTGATTATACCATAGTTGTCATATGATCAACATAGAAAAAGCATGGTTGGATCAAGTGATAATTTTAGAAAATCATCAATCTCAGTATTTGTGAGCTTATTGAGATGTGCTGTAGATATAACAAATATATACAACAGACTTATCTACTAGTACAATCAATGTTTAGAATAATAATTATGTTAAATTAAGAAAATCGGAATATGAAAATGCAAAGCAAACAAAACATAGAGCACTAGTAAAAAATAGAAAACATTTCTGTTCAAAATACAGACATAAATAAGATGGATCGTTTCTCTTGAAAAACAAGTATAGCCTAGAAGAGATCTTTTGCTTTATATATTTTTCTATTAGTATAATGAAGTTAACGAGTTCATGTGCGTTTCATATTTCAATCTCAAAGGAATTGCATTGATAAGCTTTTTCATACAAGAAAGGCTTGAATTAATGCAATGTTTTTTGATTATATCAGTACTACTTTGCATAATCAAAAAAAAAAAACTCTAATCATGATAGACAAAAACAATATATGATCAGACATACAATAAAGAATTAAAAGAAAATGTAGAGAATAAGTGATGTTTATAATATAACAGACAAGAACATTTTTTACATTTGACAGTCAATTTTTATAATATTACAAACATAAAATTTACTATCCAATTGTTTTAAATCCAAATAAGTTCTCCTATCAATATCGAAATACTTTTGAATAACAATACAGGATATCAAAATTTGATTTCCAAAAACGTATGAGTCAAATCAACAACTTTAATCTGGTCTGTTAACCAGATCGAATATTATATAAATGGATTAGACCAATTTCGCAGTTCTAGAAAAAAAAAATTGATTTTCTTTTGAAGATTTTGATATATTCTATTTAAAAAAAGACTTTTTTTTTCAGGTGGAACATTACCAGTACCATTTAATGTCATTCCAACTCCAAAAACATTTTATTATCTTTATAAACGAATATTTCATTGTAAAAGAAGACATCCATTAGATTCTCTTGAACATCATGGTTCAATAGATGGTGATAATTTTGTACCAGTTATGATTCGACGTCCACCAATAAATAATCAAGCATTAACTATAGGTAAAAATAATCCTATATCAACAATATCTAATGGTCAAACATTAAATATGAATGATCATTATATGCGTCGAAAATCATTTGATCTTAATCAAACATTAACATATCGTAAAGTAATGGAACGTGTTATAAAACGTTTTCTTTTACATAAACAACGTGAAGAACAAGATGAAATACGTGAAGGTGATTTTGAAGAACTTAAACAAGATATTCAAATGTTACGTTTTGAAATGATGAATCGATTAGATGAAACACGTGATGATCTAACTAAAAATAGTCTTTTATTAAATGAAGGTGTACTTATTGTTGGAGAATTATTATCATCATTAACACATGAAACAAATTCAATAATAAAAGAAAATTTTTATTTATTTAAAAATAAATTTTATACAACATTAGATCAAATTCGTTTAGTTGATAGTGGATTAGAATCAAATGAAACATTAACAACATCAAATACATCATTAATTGTTAGTACAGCATCAATGCCTAATTTAATAAATCAAATAAATTCTGAACAAATTTTACCAAATTCGAATTCTGAACCATGTTTAGTAATAAATAAACAAAATGAATCGAATATTAATCCAATACAATTTATAAAACATATAAGTGCAACACATATTAAATTATCAAATATTGTAGAAGAAAATGAAGAAAATGAAAATACTGTAAACAAGAAAGAAGGAGGAGGAGGAGGAGAAGAAGAAGCAGAAGAAATTGAAGTTGAAGCACGTCATATATCAATTCAAACATCAATACCAAATGAAAATGAAGAAAATTCAAAAGTTGAAACATATGCTTTTTAAAATTTAAATTTTTCCAGTTTTTATTTTGGACTATACGGTGCTGCAAGCTTTTCATTTTTCTTGTGCTTATTATTCTCTTTTATTTTTCAAAAATAAATTAATAAAAATCATACCAATCATTGAAAATGATTTGACTTCTTTTAATTATTAGCAAAAATATCTTTGTATATTATATAAAATCTAACGAATAAATATTTATTCTAATAACTTATGTAAAATCTTTTAGTATACTTTTCAATAGATGACTATTCAAAATACAATAAAACTTTTATCATTGTTGAGAGAAAAAAAAATTAGTTGATTCTGTATGTGTTTTGAAATGTTTCATAAGCATCTTTTCTTTGACCATGAAATCATGATCTCATATTCATTGCATGTTAAGAATTGAAAGTTCAGGCATTATACTTTAATATTTCTTATCAATCGTATTTTGATAAAAAATTGCTATGTGACTTAAAAATTATCCGTCTATTTCGTATATACAAGATGGACAATAAATAGCACTAGGATAAAAAATTGAAATATATCCGCTTCGGTTTGTTCAAATGAACTAATTTTTTTGGTTAGTAGAAACTTGTTTAAAGTTTTTTTTTCATATGAATAATGTAAACAAATACTATCGTCAAGTTATATTTTTAGTTTCACTAAAGAAATTTCACTTGTTATCAAGAAAAATATGTATGAAGCATTTCATAGATAATTTTCAGTTGTCATCTAAGAGAATAATAAGAAAAAATCAAAACGAACTTGACTGATATACATCGAGCAAATTTTCAGAACGAAATAGTTTAAAAGTCAAGAGTTACAAAATTTTCAATTTTCAAACATAGAACACTGGCTTTTGCAAAGAAGTTGATGCCCAAAAAGCTACGATGGTACATGCATTTCAGTATTTAAATTCACTAGTTTTGGAAATTTACTCTATGTGCATCAATAAAATTCGTTTTGGTTTTTTTCTTATTATTCTCTTAGATGACAACTGAAAATTATCTATCAAACACTTCCTGTGTATTTTTCTTACTTGACAATAGGTGAAATGTCTTTAATGAAACTAAAAATATAACTTGACAATAGTATTTATTTATATTCTCCGTCTGAAAAATATACACTAAATAGGCTCGTAGTGCTAATCGAAAAAATTAACTCATTCGAGCAAACTGAACCGAATATATATTAATTTGTTATCCTAGTTTTATTTATGGTCCATCTCGCCGTTGTAAGATGTGAACATGTCTAATGAACTTTAGAGTATATAATTCATTTTAGACTTTTTATAAGTCGAAGATTTTTTTTTTCTCTGAAAATTTGAGGTTAGTAGAAAACATTGAAAGCATAAAATTCTTTTGTTTATTGAATAGTCAGGATCTCAAATTTTTTTTTAGTATACATTCAAAAGGCCAGAGAAATTTTATCGAAAAATTATTCTATCAAAGAATCAAAGTATAGTGCAAAGACTTTTTTCATTATTGACTGTCTTAGAACCAACGTGTCATTAATTTCGATCAATGCCTGTAATTCTAATTTTAATTATGAAAAATAAAGATATCATGTATTTATTCTTTATTTCATATTGAATAAAATATAACATCCTTGTTGTTTAAAATATATTGTAAAAACTTATCTTATCATTTCTAAAGACGTCTCATATAACATAAGGCCGTTCATCTGTTAGAAATTCATATATGATGTATAAAAGTAATTCAAATTTGGATAAACACGTACGATTGTTCAATATGAATGAAAGTTATTTGAATTAATAAACATTTGACATTGAAAGAATTTTTTTCTTTTATGTATTAAACATTCTATTTCCTAATGACACGTACTTGATGTAAATAGAAACAAATGAAGGACAATATGTTTTATAATATTTGTTTAATTGGAGAATAGAAAGAAATCACAAGAAATCTTGTTACTATCATTTTTTGTTATTTCAACATCAATATGAATTATAAACCTTTCGTAGAAGAAAAATTTAAACGAATAAATAAAAAATTAAATTTTCAACGATGGTTCTATTCAATCATAGGAATTATAACTATTTCTGTAATAATTCTTCTTACTCTTGAACAAATTCGAGATATGAAAAAAGAAAATAATGAATTTACAATTTGTCTTTTACTTATTATTCATTCAGGTTTAATATTATTAAAATTAATTTATCATACAAAATAGAATTTTCTATTTTCTATTAGTTTATGTACTTATTTCTATTCTTTCAACAGCTATTTTCTGTCGTAAGTTATATAGAAATATACAAATCAAATGATTATGTTTCCTTTGTTTTCCCGTAGGTATTACTAATGCTGTTTTAACAACTTTAACTATTATACTTCTATGTGCTTATAGTGGCGTTCATTTTTACATTCGTTTTTCATTATATCAAAATCATCCGAATGAAGACTTCGATTTGATAACCGTATAAAGATCACAATTAATACTAGACATATGTGGGGCTAGTCTCAGTCACCGAGAACAAAAAATAAATAAATAAAAACTTTACCGGAATCGGAACTACCGAGAAAAAGCTATCGGGACCGAAAACATTTGGCCCCGCATATGCCTAGTTACTATTGTCTTTAAATAATAATACTTTTTTTTCTTTCAATAGGTTCGATTAGGTTTTTTATTGATTTTATTAATCTTATTACTTCCATGGACGAATGTTATGGTTCATAAATATCAAATAAATATTCTGTACATTCATTATTTTGATTGATATATATATATATAATATTGACTTTGATTTTTTTTTTCTCTCTATTATAGACCAGACAAAGGAATGATAAATCCAAGATCAACAACATTTTCTTGGTTTTTATACCTTGATTTTATGTTAATAGTAAATATAGAAGAAAAAAAAAATTTTCAAGAAAATAATGTCTTTTTGTTGTTTTTCATATATGTATAGAGTTCTTTATTAATATTAAATATTCGTAATCAATTAGATTTTGGTCTATATGAAATTCTCTTATTATCAATTGGAATACCTCTTATTTTATTATGGTTATGTATGGGAATGTTAATGGTAAAATAGATTTCTTTTTTTTGTCATTAGAAACCAAACAAAATTTTTCAATTTGATTTTTATCAATTTCAGGCTAATAATAAAACTCCTCATCGGGTCTTCTCAACTATTTTTTATATATTATCACTAATACACATCATTCATTTAGGTTGTATTATTTATAGAGTAAGTTTTATTTTGATTCTATATAAGATATTTTATAATAATAAGATGATCTTTTTCCTTCAGGCTATTTCGGAATATAATACGTTATTAAAAATCAATGAATCAACATTATTTCCTTTACTGATTATAATATTTATTTGTAGTGGTGCCAATATTCTTATTCATACACTAACAATCATAATTAGTTTTATTTTAATTAGTATATAAATATATAACGAATATTTGATTTTTTGTTATTTGAATTTATAGATAATAGTTAATTAAAATATTTTTGTATTTGTCTATATATATATATATATATCTGACAAAAGCATTATTGAAGACTTCTTATGAACGCGTGATTTTATCTATGCTAATCTAAGGAAGTCGTCATGATGCAGATTAATGATCATCTTCATGTCGTCTTTTCTTCTCATTTCTGCTTTTTTGTTGTTGATGTTGTTGTTATTATTATTCCTATGTTGCTCAGTTGACTAGCGAATTATCATAACAACTCGACTGATTCTCTGAGTGACACCCGAAGTTTTTTATGTATATATTTATAAATGTGTATGTGATCAAATTTCAAAAGAAACCCAAAGCGTTGACATAGAATTTGATAAAAAAAAAAAAAAAAAAAAAAAAAAAAGAAAAGAGAGACAAGCAAAAGAAAAAAGACATTAGATAAGCTATTAGTTTGTTCATTTATTCTCCTATCGGATAGAAAAGCTTTGTTTCTATCTTGAAATCCATTCATAAGTGAAAAACGGGTAAGTATTATTTAGAATTATTTTTAATATTGAATATAACAGTATTAGTTCGATAAAAAGCAAAAATAATTGGCTATATTTTATTTAAAAATATGTTCGTATTTATCTAAGTGCAAATATATATTCTTATTGAGTTTGATATAAAAAAAATTAGCACTATATTTGTCTTTTTATTCTCGATATTAGTGTTGAACAGATGTCTTATGACGATTTCCTTTATGTATGCGTGTTTATGTTACCCATTCAATCGTTCAAAAAAAAAAAAGAAAGAAAATTTCTAATCAATTTTTTCTTCGCTTATTCTTGCCTACTTTCCATTATCAAAGTAATATACGTTCATATAACGGATTCATTTAAAGACGTCATCGCCTTCGTCCGTCACATATTGTGACGGAACAAACAAAATCTACTTGGAACTACATTGTCAATTTGCCCATTTTTCCATACTTTAATTTTGACGTGTGTATATAGGTCTGTATTTGACATTTCTTTTCTTATTTTTTCCTTCTCACGCTATTTTTTTTGCTCGTTGTCAATGAATCCATAAATAGTAAATCATGGTTTTGAACTGGAGTGAGCCCTATTGCAATCATAATGTAACGCGTCTTGATGGTGTCTCAATATATAGAGTAGAACAAAGACAAGCGACACGATAGAGCAATTATATCGATAAACACGTTAAACGACATTTTGGCGATTGAAGGGAAAAAAATAATGCTATGGGCCCCAAATTTTGACATCAATTGTAGTCTTACCGGAAGTCCATCTATCGATCACAGAGAATGCGAGCAACAGCAAGAACTCTGCAAACAAACAAACAAACACTTATCATCATCACCATCATCATCATCATCATCCTCATCTTTTTTTCTTTTTTTATTCGATCATTCTCTCTCTCTTCTTTCATCTCTTTTTTTACTTCTATTCTTTATGTGTATATACGTAGGTTAAATCCACTTAAAAAGCATATTTCCCTCATAGAGCTGATCGTATTTTTTTTTTATGACAGATCGATCATTTTATTTCCTAATCCTATCATATAAGCTTATCGCGTAATTAAAAAAATACGGCATAAATTTGATTTTTTATTATTATTTACACTTGATTTTTTTTCTTCTTCTTTTCAGTTAAACAAAAGAAATCATTTGTCAAATAGAAAAATGTCTTATACAATTGTTGAAACTTTAAGAGAATTTTGGTATAAATGGCGTTCATCACGTGTACTTATTTTATTTATTGTCTTTGTTGCTTTATTTCTTGATAATATGCTCTTAACTACAGTCGGTAAGTTCTATACACTTTTTTTTTGTTGTTTTTAGAAATTTTTTCTTATCTTTTGTTTTTTATTTTATTAAAAAAAAAAAAGTACCTATTATTCCTGATTATCTTTATCGTCTTCAACATCCAAAAGGAACAATCGATGATACATATAAATTTTTAGCTAAAAATTGTTCAAATAGAGAAATTTTTCGAAATCGAAATTATTTTGTTCGACATCCATCTGAATTTCGAGCTGTACTTGCTACAACATGTGATTGGAGTGTTAGTTGGGCTATGAATAAAACAGAAATCGAAAATAAACAACGAACAATCAGTTTAGAACGTGTAAGAAATCGGTTTTTTTTATATCTTTATATATATATATTCGGTAATAGTTTATGTTAATATTCAATAGAAATGGAAATCGAGAAAAAAAAAGAATAAAGAAACGTGCTGAAAAAAAAAACTCTTCTTATTCTTCTGTGTTTGATTTATTTTACGTTTTTTCTTTTGAAATAGGAAAATCGATGGATTGGAGTGATGTTTGCATCAAAAGCTTTTGTTCAATTAATAGTAAATCCATTTGTTGGACCATTAACAAATCGGTAAAACGAACTAGAAAAAAACATATGAAAAAATTGAATTTATATATATATATAATTTTTGTTTTTGTTTTTTTTATTTAATAGAATTGGTTATAGTATTCCAATGTTTTCAGGATTTGTTATCATGTTTGTATCAACTCTTAGTAAGAATTTGAAATAATTTATATGACAAAAAAAGAATATTGTTTTTTTTTTCTTCTTCTAGCATTTGCTTTAAGTAAAAGTTTTGGTCTATTATTTCTTGCTCGAGCAATACAAGGTGTTGGATCTGCTTGTTCTAGTGTATCAGGTAAATAAGTACAAAAAAATAAAATAGAATAAAAGCAATTATGTAAATTTATTTAGGTCTTGGAATGTTGGCTGATCGTTATCCGGATGATGAAGAACGAGGTAAAGCAATGGGAACTGCATTAGGTGGATTGGCACTTGGTGTTTTAGGTAATTTATTTAGATAGATTTTAATTAATTTAATAATCTTTGTTTTTAGTTGGTCCACCATTTGGAGGATTTATGTATGAATTTGTAGGCAAAGCATCACCATTTTTAGTTTTAGCAGCGTTAGGTTTATTCGATGGCTGTAAGAATTAATTTATTTTTGATCTATGAACATAAAGGATATGTTTTTTGTATGAATAGTATTACAATTAACAGTATTACAACCTGCTGTATCCAGTGAACCGGTAGAAGGCGCTTCACTTCGAACACTTATTAAAGATCCATATATTCTTCTTGCAGCTGGTAAAGAAAAATAAATAATCGATTTTATTATATTTATTCATCATAAAATAGGTGCAATTTCATTTGGTAATGTTGGTATTGCAATGTTAGAACCTTCATTACCAATCTGGATGATGTCAACAATGGGTGCAAGTGAATTTCAACAAGGTACAATAATTGATTAATATTAATATTAAATATGAAAAAGAAAAGAAACATTTAGGAGCTGCATTTTTACCTGCTTCTATTTCGTATTTAATTGGCACAAATTTATTTGGTCCAATGGCTCATAGAATAGGAAGGTTTGTATAAACAAAACAAAAAAATCTTTTTCTCTCTCTTTCTATATATATATATTCTCTAATATTTTTAGATGGTTATGTTGTATGATTGGTATGTTTCTTATATCGGTTGCTTTAGTTGGTGTACCAATGGCTAAAAGTATTTATGGTTTAATTATTCCAAATGGTATTCTGGGTTTTGCTATTGGTATGGTTGATTCATCAATGATGCCAACAATGGGTTATTTAGTTGATATTCGTCATGCATCCGTTTATGGTAGTGTTTATGCTATTGCTGATGTTGCATTTTGTCTTGGTTTTGCCATAGGTAAATCCATTATTATTTTTCTCCGAAAAAATTTATCTTGATATTAACATGTGTTGTTTTTCTTGTTTTTTTTTTGAAGGTCCGGCTGCAAGTGGTTTTATAGTACAAGCAGTTGGTTTTCGTGGTATGCTCTATATTATTTCATTTATTGGTTTTTGCTATGCGCCATTGATGTTTTATCTACGAAATCCACCAGCAAAAGGTGAAAAAATGGTAAATTGTTTTTTCGTTTTAATAATCTCTTAATTTCTACACATTTTATTTTGTTTTTTTGTTTAGTCATTAATTATGAATGAAAATCATAATGCATTTTCTTATACACGCAGCAAATCTCTTGACAATGAAAATGGTTATTGATATCAAAAAAAAAAATAAGACAACAATCATAAACTCTATTTATTTAGCAAAAACAAAACAAAAATATCAGCTAAACTTTCTTTTTTTTTCTCTCTCTAGTTGTATGAATCAAGAATAAAAAAAAAGAAAAGAAAAAAAGTATGATAAAAACTAACAGTTGTTAAAAGTGTAAAAATCGAATAAAAAATATAGATTCATACTCCGATAATAAAATATCAACAAATGAAAATCTTCAAACGTAGTGATCATAGTGCTGTTATTTATAATAGTTCGATGTATATATTTGGTGGTTTAGATGAATATCGATATAATAATTTCTTTAAATTTGATTTTGATACACATATACGGACAGAAATAAAAGCTAAAGATGAATCAAAACTTTCATTAAAACGATGTAAACATAGTGCTTGTATTTATGATAATATGATGTATATATTTGGTGGTTAGAATTCATCAGGTAGATTAAATGATATGTATAGATATGTATTTGATCGTAATGAGTAGGAAATAGTTCATTGTACAAATTCATCACATGTACATAGTGCACATTCAGTTGCTATTTATCAAAATACAATGTATCTATTTGGTGGTATTGGTGATAATAAATTTAATGATATATGTATCGTTTTTCATTTAAAACAAATCAATGATCTATTGTTAATCAAAAAAATCCACCACCACGTTGAAGTTCATATGGTGGTGCACATATATATATATATATAATGATCATCTTTATATTGTATGTGGTTTAGGTTGTGGGAAATTTAATGATTGTCATTCATTTGATTTTCGTACATTAGAATGGACAGAAATAAAATATAATAATGATTCACGTATTATACCAGCTAAATGTGGTCGTCATACATGTATTTTATATCGAGAAAATCTTTATATGTTTGATGGTTATGTTGGTATACAACGAAGTAATGAATTATTTGTACTTAATCTCTGAACAAACAAACGACAACAATTAAAATTAAATACAAATATACCAACACCACGTGAAGGACATTGTACAGTTTTATATAATGGATATATGTGGTTATTTGGTGGATGGTATAATGATATTTATACACTCAAAACACTTTGATCAATTGAGGTTTTTCTAGCCTTTTTTTTTTCTTAAATTGTATCAATGGTTTTATTAAATTTAAAAGGAAATAATGTTTCTATCTATACTTATTGACAATTACAATACAGGCCCAGAGGTAGGAGTGCCATATTAGAATTAGCATTTATCGATACTAATACTAATGTTTTAAGCATTAGTATTAAAATTAACCTTAATGCTTTGATATTATTTGCATTAGAATTAATTAATACTAAAGTTTTAGCATTAAATTAACATTATTTTAAATATTAATATATAGATTACTGACGACTAGATCTTGGACACTCTAAGCATAGAAGTTCTCAAAACTAAATAATTTTGTTTTGCTTTGGGAATTACACTTCCCACTAAACTAATCTTTGTTCTCTTATTGGAAACTTTTGTAAATAAAATTTCAAAAGAATAGTCACAGGTAGTATATGTATTAGAATTAAATATAATGCTAATTTAATGCTAACAGCTTGACATTAATTAATTCTGATGCATATAAAATCAAAACATTAAAGTTATTTTTAATATTAATGCCTGAAACATTAGCATTATTCTAATACGAATGTTAATCTGACATCCCTAGCCAGAAGTAATTAGTAAGAAATAGAATTTTTTCAGATTTTTTTTACTAATGTAATTCTTAGTTTACGTTTTGGAATAGTTTCAATTTAACATTATTGTATAACACTGAATTCTGTACAAAATAAGATATTACAATAAGCAAAGTCTCATTTATGTGTTTCCATTGAAGAGCTAGTTTCTATAGAAATTAGCACTGATCAGAAAATAAATCGCTATTCTTTTAAAAATACAAAAGTTTTAAAAACTGTAATGAAAAAGTAAATATCATGCTTGATAGAACAAACTTTGCTCGATAAAACTGAACCATTAAAAAACTATTTCGTATTTTGAATTTGATAGATTTCAATTGAAATACAAAAATAGTATACAGATATATTCGAAAGGCTGATTTTGACTCTAATCAATCGCCTATAAGTGACAGAAAAATGCGTGAATATTTTATGCCAAAACTTTCGCATCATAGATTAATTTATTTTTTAGATTTTGACAAGTCTTAAATTGTCATTCATATTCAACTATATTTAAACTATTATATGAATATATAAAAAAAAAAAAGACATGTTAGTATATATATATATATAAACAAAAACATGTTAGTATATACAAAAAGAAAAGAAGCAAAAGTATTGCCAATCATTGTAAAAAAATATCTACAGTCAAACATAAAAATATAAAAAAATACGAACAAAAATGGAAAATTGATATTGCTTTATTAAATGGTCGAATAAAAGAACTAGGTCGTAATTCAGTCCAAGCACTAGCTTGTCGTTTACTTTCATCCATAACAATTAATGTATATATACCAAAATCACTTGGTTCAACATTTTTAATAATTAATCGACTACCATAACGACTATCAATTGAATCAGATGCAACATTTGTATCAATACGATATTTTGCTCCACTTGTTATAGCACGACGAACATTTGTATTACCTTGTGAAAATTCCCATTTTAATACATTCATTGGATATGCTTCACCTAAACATGTTATTTCAGCATCAGCATTTATATTTGGTACTTGTTCAACAATAATTTGATCACATATTACAGTTGGATCAAAATCAACAAATATATTAACATAATTTTCAGCTGTTAATTTTTGTCCTGTTTGTTGTTCAGCAACACATTTATATAAACCACGATCATCTTTACTAACACTTTCAATTCTATATATACCACTATATGATGTTGGATATTCTTGTCCTTGTCGTATCCACATTATTAATGGTGGTGGATTACCTTGTGCACGACATTCAAGTGTAACTGGATCACCAGCACGTACTTGAACATCAGCAGTTATATATGATATTGATGGTGGTACAAGAACATTAATTGTATGTTCAAGACGTACTTGTGCTTCTGTATTTGCTAATTCACAACGAACAACACCTGAATCAGATTCTTGTACAGGACGAAAAACAATTTCATAAACTTCTTCAGATTCTTTTCGTGCACTTACACGACCACTTAAAGTATCACGAACTGAACCACCAAATGCTAATATACGAAAATCACGATCTTGACCTTACGTAATAATAACAAAAATTTATATTTAATAGATTAGTTTTGTTTGTTTCTTTTTTTTTTTATAAATTATTCCTTACTAAATCGTCTTATACTCCATAATAATTGTGTCGGATATTGTGCAAATGGATCAACATTAATTAAAAAACAACGAATTTTTAAACCTTCACCAACATTTGGATTTGGTGGATCAGCTTCAATTTTTTGTATTTGTACAGAACTTTGTTGACAAGAGAATTGTTTAATTAAAATAATAAATAATGTTAATTGATAGATTAAATACATCTACAAATTAAGATCATCAATTCAGATTTTTTTTTAAATACCAACACATAGAAATATAGAAGCCTGGAATAGATTAACAAGAATTGTTGGATATTTTGTTAAAGAGAGAACAAAGAAGAGGAAGAAAAAAAAATAAGTAAAAGTTTGAGAAGGAAAATGTGATCAGAGTTTTAACAATCAGTATGTGATATGACTCGGAACTAAATAAATAAAATGCAAAGAACCAACAAAAAATAAGAAGCAAAACTTAAATGATAATAATAATAATAATAATATCAATAATCACAATTTTCGTTCGGAAAAAAAAGAGAGATTAATAATAATTGAATTATATATTAATTTTATTTGCTTCCGGTAAATACATTTCCCAAATTTCTAAAATTTTTTCTTGTTGTTCTAATAATTGTTTTAAATAAATTTCAATAGCTTTTTTAAAATCATCAATACGTGTTTGTTCAAAAACATCTAATTCTTCTCGAATTGATATTGATATACGTTCAAAATCTTCTTTATTACGTGTTACTTTTCCTTCCCATTCATTAATTTCCATTTCAACTTGTGGTAATTTATCAGCACCTTTTGGTGTTTGTTCTAATTTTGTTTTTGTTTCACGTTTTTTTCTTAATGTATCTTCAGCATTTAACCACTGTTGATGAATTTTAATACGTTCTTGAAATGCTAATTGTACCATATCTAATAATGATATATATTCTTTAATTAATTCACTTATAATTGTATATTCTTTTATTGAATGATCAATATTAATTTGTTCAATTTTATCTTGAACATTAGCTAATTCAATTAAAGCACTTGATAATAATGTATGTTCTTCAATAGTTGCTAAATGATTTAATGATGTTGATAAACTTTTTAACGCTTGTGCAGATTCTTTACGTTGATTAAATAATGTATTAAAATGATTATATAAATGTTTTAAATTTGTATGTAAATCAACTATAAATGTATGTTTTTCATCAAACCATTGATCTTGTTCACTTGTTTTAGTTGTTAATTTTGTAACTTGTTGTGAAATATTTGTTAATGCACGTAAAACACCTGCGCTACTGAATGCTTGAGTACTTGTTGATTTAGGTAATTCAGTAGGCATTTCAATAAATTCACGAAAATCTGGATCTTGAACTAATTTTTCATGTCGTGCTAAACGATTTAAATAACGTTCTAATTGTGAACGACGACGATCAATAAAATCTGTTGGAATTGCTTCTTCTTTAGATATTTTAACTTTAGCCATAACTAATGTATCTTTTTCAGGTGGTGAGGGAATAATAACACCTAATGGAAGATGTTTATGAACAAGTTTATCATGTAAACCAAGAAAATCACTAAAACGACGATTAACAGAGAATTCATTTTTTTTAAACATTGCTAATGATGTTTTGGTTGTTATACGATATGTCATATATGATGACATGCCCTAAAAAATATTTGATATTATGATAAAAGTTTAGAAATTGTATTCAACAAAAACAATAAACATACTTCTCCAACTTTTGTAGGATCACTAACAGCAATTTCAATATTATGTTCATCAGATCTTTTTTGTGTTGGTTTCATGTTTGTTGTTATACCAGTAGTTCCACTAGCTATAGGTTTAGATACTTGTGCCGATGTTGAAGATTGACTTTCTAATGATGCTGTTGATTGAACAGGTTGTGTTGCCGATGTACTTATTTCTGATGAACTAACACTTGAACCTCTTGAAGATAATTCATTATCTTGTTTTACTGGTGTTGATAACTGTGGTTCCAATACCACATTAGGTGTTACCGGTGGAACATCGGATGGTGTTTCATTATTTGTAGATAATTCATTAATATATGTTGGAATTTTTTTTTGTACTGATGGTTCACCAAATGGATTATCATCATCATCATCTTCTCCACTTAATGGAATATCGTCAGTTACAGGTAATGCTGCTGATTTAAACATTTGATCATCATCTTTTGTATCCTCATCAGCAAAATCTGGTGGTGACTGACGGTGTTCACGATCATTCGACATAGTTTTTTTTTGTTTTAAATAAATATATCTACAAAGTATTGAGACAATCACGAGATTTTTTAAAAAGGTTTCTTTCCTGGATAGTCTTCTTTTTTTTCGTTTTCATGTATGTTATGCATATGCAAAGAAAAGGAAAAAACCTGCTGTCTGTTAACATCATTTGAACTAGAGAAACAAATAGAAGTCAAGAATGAAATAGAAAAAGAAGAAGAAGAGAAAAACAAACAAACAAACAAACAAACACAAAAGAATTTTCATCTCATTACCATATGAATTTTTCTAACCATGTTTTGTTATGTGTGTATTACAGATGAAAAGGCAAAGAAAAAAAAATATATATTTATAATAACATGTAAAAAGTTCTCCTAGATAAACAGGTTATTGGTTTTTTTCACATGATAAGAGAAAAATAATAATTGTAGAAAAGAAACACTGGAAAATAAAAATGTTCTTTTCCAATTTTTTTTGTTTTACTTTTATTTCCACCATTATGCATAGAAAAGTTTTATGTTTAAGATTGTTGTCTTTAGAAATACTCGCATGCTGCTACAAAGAACGTTTAAGTAAAAAAAAAAACGAGAAAGAAAGAAAAGAACAACAGAAGAAAGACGATGACGACAGCAACATAACCATCAAATAACGATAGAAAGAAAAGAAAATGAACGTCTTATAGCAGCATTTTAAACCTCACAGATATTACATTCATCTCTCAATACAGAATGATCACGATGGTGGATGTTTTTTTGTTTTTTTCTTCTTGATTCTTGCTTTGATTTACTGATTATTGGCCGACACGCTACTATTCACATGAAGCGGCGACGGAGACGTAGTCAAAGATATAGAGGCACCAGCTAAAATCAATACGAAACTGATTTTTATGTTTAATAAATTAAATATTATTTACCATTGTTCGAAAGTAAGACTTGAGAAGTAACATTCATTGGACGACCTTGATCGCGTACAATTGGATCTTAAAAACAAAAGCAACATTCCACGAATGTCAAGTATCAATTTGAAAGACAATACATACAAAAATAAGGATGATCCATAGCTTCTTTAGCTGTTAAACGATCATTATGATCATAACGTAGAAGTTTATCCAAAAAATCTAATGCTTCTTGACTAACAAGATGTTGATTTTCAGAATGAAGAAATCGTTCCCATCGTTTCCGTGAATGTCTTTTTTTTTTATTAAATAATATATTTTTATAAGTAAATTAATAGAATAATATTTTTTTATTTTTCAATTCTTACCGGCCGAGAATTTCATTAAAACGTGGATCAAGTTCAATTTGATATTTTTCAAGATATTCATAAAGTTCATCGGTACCAAGTACTTTAGCGATTCGTACAAGCTATTTATTAATTTTCAAATAAAATATATTTAAAAAAAAAAAAAAGAAAGAAAATATTAAAACAAACTTGATCATAATTGTCATGACCATGAAAAAATGGTTCTTTACGAAAAATCATACTAGCCAACATACAACCTAAACTCCACATATCAAGTGAATAATCATAATATTGATAATCAACAAGTAATTCTGGTCCTTTAAAATAACGTGATGCAACTCGAACATTATATTCTTGATTTGGATGATAAAATTCAGCTAAACCCCAATCAATTAATCGTAACTAAATAATATAATTAATTTAAAAAAATAACATTGATCTTTTTCTTTTTGTCTTACCTTTCGATTTTCATGATCGATCATTACATTATGTGGCTAAAAGAAATTAAAAGATTTAATTTTAGTCTTCTATTAATATACAAAATGGTCTTCTACCTTTACATCACGATGCATGATGCCCATGCTATGACTATAATCGAGTGCCTAGTAATAAAAGACAAAAATCATTTTTAAAGATTCTAATCAAACGAGAAGAATATTTTTCAAGATGATAGAATGTTCAGCAATTAAAAAACCATGCTGACAGCTTATGTCTTCCGCTAATGTTTTGAAATAAAGTAAAAAATCAGTGGCGATGGTCATCTTCGCCTTTGAAATTTATGTATGCTATACCCTAGATATCTTTGTATTTCTATGAGATTCACAGAGACATATTGTGTACATTTCTGGTTAGTTTTAAGTGTTCATAGCATTTGTATTCTGCAATGAACGATTCCAGACAATGACAACAACAGTCTTTGGTTCGATGCAGTGATATCTTTTTTTTCGAATATCAAATTTATGCAATGTCACCAGTGACAATAACTATAGGTGAGCAAAACTTTTTCGATAGGAAAACTAATAAAATCGTATCTTCAACGTACCATGATTTACATTGATATCGAACAAGTCATTGACAACTTCTCAAAAATGAAAATTAGAATTTCTTGTATGATTTCTTTCTTAGTTGTTTTTGTTTTTCATAGATCGAAGCATATATGTTGATAATAGTAAAATCATCACGAATACTGTCAATAACTTGTTCCCATCTGTGATTGCTTTCAAAATTTCTTGGATCCCGTCCCTGATGACCATCGCTATTAGTTCGAGTGAATATAACCACGATGTCCATAGACGTGAGATATGATCCTTACTGGCAAAATTTATTTGTCTGGAGAACGTACGAGTCGAAGAATATTCGTAAATCGAAAAATGACAGCTCGTCCCGCCTGAATTAATTCCTATGAACATATGTCGAATATAATCTTGAAAGGCTTTTCAAGTGAAAAATGAGTCTGAATTAATCTACATATTCAGTATCGTTCTGTGAAACATGAATGTAAAAGTATAGGAGTCAACATTTGGATCCTCTCTCTCACACCGATCGTATATTAACAACGCCTCATTATAATATATGAACTACTTCCTTATTGCATTACTGGAAGATTAAATAAACCAACGACACTGTGATTAATAAGAGCAGTTACATCGTGTTTCACAATTTTAATCCCGCAGGACTTGAGCTAATAGCTTTTTTTTTCCTATAAAAAAAAATAGATAAACGTAAGTTATACGATATGAAGTATCTCTTATTCTAAGAAAATTCTTGTATATTTATTGATATTCTATTTGATGAATAATATTGAAAAGAATCTTCATTGTTTTCTAGTACGAAAAATTTTTTAATTTCTATCTTTATCTTTAATAGAAATCATATTTAATATCTTATTATTGTTTAAAAATAGTTTCATTATCATAATTTATATTTATAAATGTATATATTATGTAAATAGCTACAATTTCAACAACTTCTTCGTCTATTTTTATAGGGTATCTATAAATAATAAAAGAAAAAAAAAAAAAGGAATACATGTCTTCAAGAAAATAATTATTTGTTATACAAAAAAGTCTATATACATACTTTAAGTAACTCATACATATAATATCGAATGTCATAATCGGAAAGTGTAGGATAAAGTTGCTAAATTAATATGAAAAAAAAAACAATTTTTTTTTTGAATGAAATAAAAACTTTTTTTGATTTTTAATTCTTACTTTGAAATCAGTATTATTAACATTTTCAAATATAAGAGCGGGCGTTCTCGACTATGATAAAACAAAAATATAATACAAAGAAATTCGAGATGCTCAAAAACATACAACAGGATCTTTAACAATATCAAGTAGTGTAATAATATTTGGTCCACCACGTAAATTTTGTAAAATTTTTATTTCACGTTTTATTTTTTTCTTTTTAACTGGCTGCAATAAAAAAAGAAATTATATTTATTTTGATTTATAAAATAATTAAATTTAAATTTACTTTGAGAATTTTAATAACAACTTTTTCATTATTTGTTATATTGATACCTTCGAATACTTCACTGTATTTTCCACGACCGAGCTTACGCACGATCTGATAATCATCTTGATTACTAAAATAAAATTAGATAATATTAATTTCTTTTTTTTTGTTTTGTTTATCTCTTTATTGACTTACCCCCACTCAACAACGTGCAGCTCGTAGTCGTAGTATTCGCTGAATAAATAAACAAATAAATATTAATTAAATTATTCCTATAGAAATATATTCGTACCGTGGTCGATGCGTATTGCAATCGGCATAAACGCGAGCTCGACTCGGTTGCGCCATCAAAAGTCGAACGGTGACAATGGCCAACCAGAGCAACGGAAGAAAAAAGGAACAATGGATCTGTAATTATTCCAATGTATATTAAAAAAACAGATTCTTGATAATTTAACAAAAACAATATGAGATAGCGTTTTTTAATTATTACTAAATGTATTGTAGGTTACTGGTATCAAGCAATGTAAATAAAACAGTCACAATATGTTTTTAGACGTGAGATGCCGCGCGTAAACAATGCATGCCCAAAAATAAGAAATTGTATAGTAGGAGAACAGCAATAAGACAAAAAAAAATGACGTGCTTGGTTGATTTATTTTTAGTAGCCTCTATGAAAACGAATGAACTTACTCTACGACAGGAAGACACTTTAGTAGATATAAGACATTTTTCTAAGAAAAAGATATGATACTAAAAAATGATACAGCATATAGACATATATATATGTATATATACAGAGAGAGAGTTTTTATTGGTTTGATAGTTAGTAAATTGTTAAACATGCTTGTGTATATTCTTTTGAGCACGATAGATGATTATGACTGACCCCTGTTAACCATTATTGTCGAAATAATATCCTCTTTTTACTTATTAATTATATTGATAAAAATAATATAAAAGAAAAATTTTTATTTATGAATATTTTTATAGTTTTCTTGGAAAGATTCATTAATTTTTTTATTTTATATAATAATAACAAGTGTAACACAAATGTAGATGTCACTAATCATCGATCTTTTCGTAAAAAATTGTGTACATGAGAGAAATAAGCCTATAGAAATATGACAAATGAATATTACATCATTTAAAGTCTTTCATTTTTCCGTGATCTGTGTGAACAAGAATTACTATGGCACAATTTCCATCCTATTCAGTATGCGTCTGCTTGAATTTGTTCTAATATTCCTTCTTTCAGTACATATAATTAAAACAGGTGTGTAATTTAGGTAATTATACATTCT